TTTTCTCCCGGTCCCCAACAGCAAAAACTCCATTGTAAGGCCTTGCATTATGGTTCAAGGCATGGCCACAAAGAGGATTAAAACAAACTGCACTCGGAAGAAAATTAATATAATAGCCTTTCTCTTTGCTGTACCTCTTACCAATACAAAAAGTATGTATCGGCGAGCGTGAAGGAGGAGCATAGAGAATAATATTATTTAGTCACTCCTTACAATTTTCGACCATGGGAAAAAAATCAGCATGCTGTGTATACTAGTAGCTAACCGGGTGTGGAATAATTCTGTTAGCTCTTGTAAGATTGCACATGTAAAGGCATGAAATGAAGACAGATCTTGGAGGGGGATGTTTCACAAAGACTAAAAATCAACTTAAGATGGAATCGTACAATGACAGGCCGTTCATGCACTGGTTGCTCTCACCATAGGTCTCTCAAGGGATGTGCAAATCGTCCTCACAAATCTACAGAATTGACATTTATTTTACCGTCCATTGAAAAAATTAATGTAATTTCAAGTTCTACATAAGATTTGGACTGATACTATTTTATGATGATAGGAAGTATATGCCCCTAAAAGATCTTGCACCAGATGTACAATTTGAGGAAAAATACCCAATAAGTTATGATTTATCGATAATTGTATAGCTTTAACAATTAACTACAACCAATTCTATAAATTTGTGACCACGATTTCTACGTCCCTCGAAACGCCTGCCATATTTCAAGTCCAACTTAAGTCGATATTTTGTGAAACGCCCGAAGGTCTCAAAAGACCCTTCCTTATATAAATAGTCAGTCTCCCCTTTAATAATCCGATAGCCCTCAATAAGTGATTTCCTAATTTGTCTGTACTGGGTTGCGGGAAAACAAATATTATGCCCCTCCTGATGCCAAGGCCTTGGTAGGAGTTGTTAGACTTTTTTGTTAAAGTCTGGTTAATTTCCCTCTTTTCCCTTTACAAATTTGTGCTGGTAAAAGCTGGCAGTTTCATATTTCCATTTCCGTTAGTTCATATAAAGTCGTAGGTTTTTTTTGTTTGATTGAGCATGCAATCAAAAAGCAAGACCAAAACATGCTTACCCGTTTCACAGACATACGCATAAACACACACACACACACACACACACACAAACGAAGTTTCTTTCCTTTATTTTTAATAGATTGCGACAAGAAGCTCTGTATAAACAGCTGGTGCGAGGAGACTATGGAAAGTTATCTGTGCCACTGTTCAGCTGGATTTCAAGGGAAACATTGCAATGAGCGTAAGAACAATAATATTAAAAAAATGGAGTTCTGATAAAGGTTTGAAAAGGAAACATAATAAGAATATTTTGTGACCTTTCCTATTATTTTAATGTCATGTGTGTTTTGATTAATATCATAGCAGTAGGCCCAATAGTAGCGATGGTAAATGGTTCAGAAATTTTGGGGCTCGGAGTTGTTGTCTGATAGAAAGAACATTAGTGAACTCAAGGAAAGTTTAGGTCATTTACCTGGTTTTAGATTTTATTTTTCTTAATACTGGCAATTTCGTTCCGCCTTCTCGCTTTGTCCCACCCCCCCCCCTCTCCCTTGCCAAATCCCTTGTATAAAGAGAGTGTATCCCTTTTTAATATTTGTTTTCTTCAAACATCATGGAAATTGGCACGATTCAACGTTTTGTCTATCATATGAAATCCAAAAGTCGAAGGTTTCATAAAATGTCAGTAGATGGGGCTGTGGTCTAATTACATACATAATTTACAAGTCTATGTGTGAAATGCTGGGGAGAAACAAAGCTTAGCTTAATAGTGAAGTGATTTTAATTATAATTTGCGGATTTCTATTGAAATTATTTCTGGTACGGTAGAAATAGATGCAGGGAAGAGCAAAAGGGGACTTAGGAATAGGACAATTAAATAAAATTGAATAAACAGAAAATAAAATGGTAGCGGAATAATAGATTTTTGAGGAGACAAGTTTAAGAAGATGAATAAGGAAAAACAAACGAACAGATCAAACAATGTCTACAGCCTTTCTTTCTGTTGACAAGAAATAAAGCGTGTTTCTGTTGTACTTTTCTGTCTTGAATAGTAATGTATTACTTGTTTTTGCGAATAGAAAACATAACTTATGTCTTAAGTTCAGTCCAGTTTAATGGAATTTATTGGAATGTAATTCAAACTCAAATTCTAACTTAGCTCAAATTTCCTTTGTTATGATTGTCTTCACCAACACCAATCCGCAAACACGCACACTCCCATATACATACTCCATTTCACGCATGCACACGCACCCACCCACCCCTATCCCAATACACGCACAATACACGCAACCACACCTCTCTCTCACACACACACACACATGCACATACGCACACACCCTTATGTGCTATTAGTGGCGAACTGCTCATGCATATAAGAGATAAACGCGCATTGAGAATATGTAAACTTTTAGGCCCTACCAGTACGTTTTCGTTTGTTAGATCACATTCTGCTGCCTAAACAAAAGGCTTACTAATGAGCCATTTTATTACCAGAATTCCATTTCATTTCTTAAAGACAAGACTGCCGTGTTCTTGTAGAGATAACAAAAAATCCAAGCTTTCTCATGCTTTTCATGTTGATTCGGAAAAAGATAAATGAAAAATAATTATATTGACCTCATATTCATCATGTAACTATAAATAGCTGAACTAATTCGAGCTTTTTATTAATATCATTAATATTCATACTATAGGTATTTTTATTACTACTATTAATATTACCATTATTAGTATAAGTATTATTATTACTATTATCATTATTATTATCATTATCACTATTTCTTTCTTTTCGATGATTCCACGCCCCACAGTTTGCGTCAGTACCACAGATATATTCGTCAAACAAAATATTCTTCTTCATCATAATCGTTTAATCAAAATATTAAAAACTCGTAATTCGTGAAAATGGCACGGTGCTACTTATCAACTATTCTGCTGAAAGCGTATTAGCTAAAGAATAATTGATATTTTAAAAGCCGTTTTTGTTGTTGAGTGATCTTCAGTCACAGGTGAAGGAGGCATAGGGAGAGAGAGGAACAGATAGAGAGAGAAAAGAGAGAGGGAGAGAGGGGAGATAGGGAGGGAGGGAGGCAAATGCCTCTATCTCCTGTAGACTTGCCGATACAAATACAAACAGATTTTTAAATTTTTTTATTTATCAGAAACAAAGTTTGACGAGACAAAATTGGCAAATATGAACTTCATCACCAAGTTGACATTTTGTTTATTGCAACGAGGCATCACGAGTAAAACACTATGAGAGGGTTGATCCAGTCTATTTACAATATTTTTAAAGCGATAAGGGAATCAAAACATTCCAAGCGGGCCTCAATCCTTTGCATTCGGGAGGAGGTTTTGAGATCATGGGGATTAGTACTTGAATAATTTGTCGGGGGAAGGGGGTATACCGCCCCAGAAATGTTCCAGCATTATACAAGTTTCGATATTGGTTTGGTAAAAGTTGTTCTTTTGATACATCTTTCCACAATTCTGGCGGCTGAAACCCAAAGGGGCGGAACAATGTTTATATTAGAACTGTAAATCTCATGTGACCCCTAGTGGGGTTATTTGTTAGGCCTGTAGATGATTTCAGAATTACATCATGGTTCAAATAAAACCGAATATCCCATATATTTTATACAGTCGTGGAGAAATCACACTTCGTGCATTTCAGATTAATCATTGCCAGCAAGCGGCATTTTTAATTCACATTTCATGGACCTAATACGATAGGTGACCCCTCGTCCCCCTAAATATCCTTTATCAAAAGCCATATTTTTGTTGTTATCATTTTTCTCATCCTTCTCGTTCTTGTTCTTGTTTTTGTTCTCCTTCTTCTTCGTATTATGATGATGATTTGTATCATCATCATCATCATCATGACAGTTATTATTATTGTTGTTATTATCCTTATTATCATCATAATTGTTATTGTGGGTATCATGATTATGTGTAGTAGTATTATTATTGTGATCATCATTATCACCATTATCATCTTCATTATTTTCCAATGCTTTGTATGAATCCTATGTTACGGCAGAATCACCATCAACTATGACTAACTTTACTGACATGTCTACGATCATACCGCCCAAAATGACGCAAGTCACCGCCACGGCTGGTGAGCATTTCATATCATTCCCGTTGCACGCAAGGTTTCATCTTGCTGATGTAGGACTGTGTTTTAAAAAATCAATTCTATGATGGCTATTAATATATAATTTTTATTGTCTATACGGTGTCACATTCATACGACGCGTCAAAGACGACACAGGTCGCTAACTCAGTCCTACGTCAGGTGAATGACGGCGTTATAACCGCTATATGCCTCTTGCAAACGGAGCGTCATTCTTGTGACGCATGGCCGAATCAGTGATTTGTGCGGTGTTTGACGCACCATGGGAGATTGACTTTCAGGAAATGTCAACAAAACGAATAAGATATGAACAGTACAAGGGTCCTTTGGAATTACTGACTCACACTCTTTAGTCCTCATCTTTTGTTGCACTATATATAGCAGCAATTATTGTTCATAATAAAATTGAGATTATCAGGCCATTATATTCTAAACGTGTTATTTCTCTCAATGAAATGTTTCATTCAATCATTCAGGATCAAAATCGACTTAATGAAATGTAAAGTTTTTTTTTTAATTCCTCCTAGTGCGCCTCTTGGTATGATCACTCCTCCTCTTACTTGTCATTTTCTTTAATAAGTTTTGTACAGCTTTACACTGTATTGTTTTAGCATAACACCAAATACCGAGCAAGGAACCAATCCGTGACCCTTTTTTCTATGACAGGCCGGTCCTCTGAAATTCAATTCTCTCAACTACACCACCTTTGTGTTTCCTATCAGTTCCTAGACTCCCACGTGACTGCGCTGAGATTCAGACTGGTGGACTATCCCATCTCAGTGGGGTGTATCCCATCTATCCCGGTGGATTAGGTGATGATCCTCTCTTCGTTTACTGTGATATGGAAACGGACGGTGGCCGGTGGACGGTGAGAAATGAAGATAGCTCAAATTTCAAATCATCAGCCCCGTCCGCTTTTAAAATGATCGCAAAGATTTTCAAGAAACACGATAGCAAGTATCTTCGAATAATTAACCTTGCCTTGTGCGTCATCCATTTAAATATTTTTGAAAATTACAATAAACAAAAATCTATAAGACATACCATAGGGTATTACAATTTCCTTTAAGATGATTTTTCGAAAATGGATCGTGTTAAGAATCAATTTTAGGGCTATATATTATACCCTGTATCCTATTTCATCCATCAACATTTTCCCACTCTCCGCCCTGGTGTCAACAGGTACCTGCTGATTGCTGGGCCCTCATGATAAAAAGAATCGATATTGGTTATTGATATTGATTTGGTTGATTTGTTTAAAGTCTTTGCCATCGCATTCTTCTTGGCCCAAAATCTAGACTGCGTATCCTTATGATTGGAGCGAAGTGTGATAACAGCCACTCTTCTCCGTGTTGCTACACTGTTCAAAAGTAATTACATAAACTTTGATATTACACACATCGCATATTCAATCATCGCAAGTGTTATTAATGTTCTGAATTGGTAATTAATACACAAACACACACACACTCTCTCTCTCTCTCTCTCTCTCTTTGTCTCTTTGTCTCTCTCTCTCTCTCTCTCTCCCTCTATCTCGATATCTTTCTCTTCCTCTCTCTTTCTTTCTTTCTCTCTCTTTCTATATCTGTGCCTCTCTCTCTCTCTCTCTCTCTCTCTCTCTATATATATATATATATCTTTCTTTCCTTCTCCCCCTTTCCCTCTCACCCACTGTCTCTGTAGGTATTCCAGCGTAGACAAGATGGATCTGTTGACTTCTCTCTTTACTGGTCCGTGTACAAAAACGGTTTTGGAAACGTTTCCTCCGAGCACTGGCTCGGTAACGACAACATCCACCGTCTTTCCCGTAATAAGACCTACGAGCTACGGATCGACCTCAAAGACTTCGATGGACAAACGCGCTATGCTACCTACAGCAATTTCAGTATCGCGGACGAGGTCGCAAAGTACATCCTGTCCCTTGGCAGCTACTCCGGAGACGCAGGTATGTAATAGGGCGATCCCATGCAATGTGTCCTGTACATGATGTTATTCATTTTAATTCATCACAAATATGGTTCCTCTTGGTATCACTAATATTATTAAATGGCCAAATCAATTAAGGTGTCTGTTTTTCTTTTTCTCTATATGGAATAAATGGGGGTATGTCGTTTTGGACCAATGCGGAATCGCGGAATCGTCCAAAGGTACAGTAATATGGTACTATATGATATGCTATACGGTAATACACTGTCGCTCATATAGGTGAAATATATTTGTTTTACCACAATTTATGGAATTATTTTTAAAATAATTTAAAAATATTAGATCTAGATAAAAGTATACATTCTCAGATTTTATTGAATAATAATTTGCAAATGTGTGTTTTGCGTGACTGCTAAAGCATGTGGTTGCTTTTATGCTCATGAAATAGGGGACCTACGCCCTTAAGTCATAAATGACAGTAATGAGGATTAATACCCCACAAAAAGGCAAGTAGTATAGCACATCGACACGGTTTTGATCCTGGGGTTTCACAGTTACGAGGCCATTGCTTTGTCACTGAACCATGACTGTACGCAGCGGGGGCTAGGGTAGGGGGCAGTTTCCATAAATTTAAAAAAAGAAAAGAAAATGCAATAATTTTCCAATAATTTATTGCATTTTACCCCGGTATCCAACATTAAAAAATCCTCTGTGTGCCCATGCCTTGAGACATAATGCATGGCCATACAGAGGATTTGTTTAAGTGTTCAGTGGCCAAGCAATGGCCTCGTAACTATGAGGCCCCATGATCAAAACCGTGTCGATGTGCTATATTAGTGCCCTTTTGTGGGGCATTAATCCTCATTACTGTCATTTATGAATTAAGGGCGTAGGTCCCCTATTTGATAAGCATAGTAGCATACGCATGATTTAGCAGTCACGCAAAACACACATTGTTAACTTATTATTCAATAAAATCTGGGAATGTATACAATTATCTAGATCTATTATTTTTAAATTATTCTTAAAATAATTCCATAAATTGGAGTAAAACAAAAATATTCCAACTTTATGAGCGACAGTGTGTGTTAATACGGGAGGCTAATTCGGTAAAACAGTAAACAAAACAAAAAGGGGTAATTCTGTATACTGTAATTTCTTGATATGGTTCATTGTGATACGGTTAAAGGCCCGGTGGTAATATAATCATACATTTATACGGTTAAACGATAAAACGGTTATACGTTAAATAGTGTCATGGGGGTAATACAGTAATTCATTTATACAGTTAATATACGGTATGACGGTAAAACGGTATTAACCATCAAACGCTCTCTTACAGTGACGAGGTAAACAACAGCGGGTTTTTTTTTTTTGGGGGGGAGGGGGTTCGTTGTTGATTGTTTTTGTTTGCTTGTTTGTTTTTTCCTTTAACCCGAAAAAGTATCAATGCGTAATAACGAATGCTCCCAAACGCATCTGTCTGTTACATTGAAATACAGAAGACACAACATTCATCGATGGACGGACGAACGGACGGCTTATAATACATACACGCAGCCTCAAGTCGAGTACGGAGAGATCGTGTGTATATTGAACTGATTTATATCATGTGTATACCATATATCAATTTCTCATTTCTATGCAGGTGACAGTATGTCGTATCATGCGGATAATCCGTTCAGTACACTGGACCGCGATCATGATGGTTCTGGGGGAAACTGCGCCGACAAGTACAAAGGAGGCTGGTGGTACAATATCTGCCATCGTGCTAACCTCAACGGCCAATACCTGAATGGTCTAACAGGGACGTACGCCAAGGGTGTGGTCTGGGTTGAATGGCGCGATAATACATACTCCCTCAAGAAGACGGAGATGAAGCTTCGCCCGACGTAAATAACGAACGCCTGTCATAAAGGTGCCGGTTTACCGCGGCGTTTTGTAGAACACACCTTAGAGCACCCTCTTTTTTTTGTTTTTTATCTTATCAAAAATAGACTCTCAGCTTTTTTTCCCTTTGATAAAGACAACACCCTCAAAACAGTGTTACTTTTTTTAGTATCGGTTTAACATGAAGGGAGTGATGCCGCGTTGCTGTAATAAGTGTTCACAAATATTCACTTAAAGAGATAATAATCCTACATTTTCTAGGGTTATTCGGGGAATAAGTGCTGTAATGCTTTTTACGTCTGTTTGAAATAAGGAAACTTCCATTAGATTAATTGCTTAATGTTGTCTGGCATTATTTAATTGTTTTCCACAAGAATTTTAGCAACAAAAAAATTCAGTGAATTATATCCATGTATTTAGGAAAGAAGCAGAAATAGAGAAAACTACAAATATTGTATTTTTTCCTTTGCACCTTGTAAATACATATGTTATGAATATTGAACTGACGTGTTTAACAAATTTTATCATTACTCATATTGTTATTAGTATTATTATTACCATCATTAATGTATTGCAGAAAACGTACTTCAAAGAAGAACCTATATGTCGGAAATGTTTTAGATAGATATTTTACGAACACAGTTCTTGCATTCCTGCATATAAAGTAACAGTCAATCTACTAGTCATCAATTTTAACGGACACACATTGATGATGAAATAATTATTAATTATTTATTAAGTCTCGATGTCCATGTAGCACTATTCGTTTTCAATACTTATATCAGAATGTAAGATGCACATTTTAATCATATGAAATTGTTTTTATCTCATTTAAATAATATCTCATTTATATCTTTGTCTTTGTTCTTACCCTTCTGGAATTTTCAACAACATCTCATTCTTATTTCAACAATTTATGGAAGTGTAACTCAGTGAAGTGTGAAGGTTGTGTGTGTGTATTGGGCTATGGTGGGAGGGTGAATTTTAAAAGAAGAGGTATTTCAAAAAATACCAAGAGAAAAATGGCTAGGGGAAGGAAACCAATAGAGACAAGCACCCAATACTAGGACTTGTTGTGCAAGTAATTATAATACCTTTTTTCCATAATAGTGTCTTGTTTAAGTTTGTCCAATATTAATTTAAATTCATTCGAAAAACATCATAAGTAAAACAAAACAAGCATTTAATAAAAAATATAACGTCTCCGCCAAAACTTTATAAAACGTCCCATTGAAATGCAGCAATTTCTCTGACGTTAGCATGGAAAGATGTTTGTTGTATCACACTGAATGGTCACAGCTCTTTTTGGCCTTGTCGAGCCCCCTGTGATTCTAGATGAAGGGTACCGTGATAAACTTTGAAGTTCTCGAAATCTCTGTTTTACTGGTAAAGGGAATACTTGTACAGCTTAGCATTGAAGAAGTAGGCTGCAAGATTTAATTCATGCATTTAGTAAAGAGGCAGAAAAAGAGAAAAATACAACAATTTATTTTCCCTTTGCGCCTTGCACATATTAATATTGAACTGACGTGTTTCAAAAACATTATCATTGCTCATATTGTTACTAGAATTATTATTACCATCATTGATGTATTGCAGAAAACGTATTTCAGAGAAGAGGGTATATGTAGAGAAAATAGAGATAGATATATTACGAACACAGTTCTTGTATTTTTGCATATAAAGTACCAGTCGATCTACTAGTCACCAATTTCATACAGATACACATTAAAGATGAAATAATCATTCATTATTATCAAGTATCGATTTTCATGCAGCCCCATTCGTGTTCAATAATTATAACATAGTGTAAGAAGCACATCTTCTTCATATTAAATTGTTTTGATCTGATATAAACATTCTCTCGTTTATAGTTTCGTCTTTGTTGCTACTCTTCTGTACATCTCATCATGTCATTCTCATTTAAATCATTCATGATAACGTATTGGGTGTTAATGGGAAGATGAATTTTAAATAAAAACTCTGAGGTATTTCAGATAATACCAAGAGAAGAAATGGCTATGGGAAGGAAACCAAAAGAAACAAGTACACAATCCTAGGACATGTTGTGCAAGTAATTCTAATCCCTTCTTATCAGAGTATTGACTCGTTTTATTGTCTCCAATATTTATTTTATTTCATTCGAAAACATACGAATTATAAATAAATAAATGTAACATCTTCGGCATTACTTTATAAAACATCGCAGGGCCAATTGAAATACAATAACGTCTCTGACGTCAGCCGGGAAGGATGACCATTGCACCGAAATACATGGTCTCAGCTCTTTTTGGCCTTGCCGAGCCTCCTGTGATTTTGGATGAAGGGGACCGAGATAAACCTTAAAGATCTCAAAAGCTCTCTTGTACTGGTATAGGGAATACTTGTACAGCTTAGCATTGAAGAAGTAGGCTGCAAGATTGATTCTGGATAAATACTGCAATAAAACAAGTAGCAAAATATCAATGAGAAGGAGAGAGAGAGAGAGAGATCAAGGGGTAAAGTAAACACTAAAAAACTTTTTGTTTTTGATCAGACAATCTGAGAGAGGGGAAGACAAGATATGGTGGGTGTGTGTGTGTGTGTGTTTTGTGTTTGCACGCGTGTGTGTGTGTGTGTGTGAATACATGTAAAGAAAGGGATCAAGTCGAGAGATTGAATGGGTATGTAAATCTGAGATATACAGCTATCCTTAACAAATGGACTGTCGCAAAGTCTCCAAAATGTATATTTGAAAAGCATCAGCCTATTCGGTGTCAATTAAAGTACTAAAAATTGCCTAAAATGTTTAGATAAACATATTTTGGGAGACTTTCTTCAACTACCAACTTCATTATTTTAGATGAAGTATAGAGAGATGAAAGGAGAAGTAGAAAGATTACCGGATGATAAAATAAAAACAAAACACCGGTTTGCCGTTACATAGCGGAGAAAGATAAATAGACAAATGTGTGGATTAACTAGACAAGTATAGGAAATGCCGTACATTTCAATAGTTTCACTCATAAAGTACTCTTACAACTTGAATTTGTGTTATTAAATATCACTACAAATTATGAATTATATTATCCCGGCTGATGGAGCCTGACTACCGATTATAGGTGCTTTATACATGATTGCTTGAATTCCTTTCTACCGGAACCCATTTAACATCCGGGTAAAGAGAGGCAAAAGTATATTAATGTCTTACTAAAGGACACTATAATGTTGAAGCAGGGCTTGAAATCACAACCTTCGAATATCCAGTCAAGTGCTTAAACCACTCGACTACGACACACACCCCGTATGTGACTAGCCCTAAGTCTAAGAGGTGAATCGCCGTTTGGTCTGCTGCAGGGATTAACTTACGCCAACTAGCAAAACCCCGTCTGAACATGGCTTATGTAATCTTGAAGACGATTGTCTAAGGTTTTGTGGATTCAACTTTTCACTGCGTTGGAGAAACGCAAATGAAGATTGGTGTCTTCCCAAATGGCAACAGTGTTATGTGGCATGGATTTGAACTCTGAGCATTGTAGTACATAGCTCGGTGAGTTATCAACACAACCACGATATGTCTCTATATATCTGTCAACTATCAACGGAGCCGACCTTCTCTCACTGATGGGGAACCCCTGTAACAATGAACAGACTTATAACAAATCTGCCACGAGAACTCGCACTCCGTGTAGATATTCCCGCCCTTCATAACGTGTTAATTCTCTTATGTAATCTTGAAGATGATTGTCTAAGTTTTTCTTGATTTTACTTTTTTAAGGACGTAACTACAGTACCTATACTGTCATAATGGCAAGAGGGGGGGGGGGTGCTAGAAGTAAAAACAAAGAGTGATAGCAGGAAATGCTGATATTAAAAAGGGTAATACAATTACATGAATAGGTCATGCAACCACTTCTTATATCATCCAGTCACGCGATAGCTGATCATACAAATCATTTATTCTTGAGCTGGTAAAATAGTTTAAAACAGTTTGTCATCCATCTGATCTGATCATCAGAATCACTCAGTTGGAACTTGCATTGGTGGAACTCAACTCTCATTCACACAGCCTCAGCTAAGAAAACAGGATACTCAAACCGATATTCAGAGTCAATGTAATTGAATTATCATGTGCACGCTCTGGCTGGAATATGGAGAGAATACACCGTTAAGCGCAAAACCGTAATTGAGACCAGTGACTGGTATAGTAACAATACTGCAAATGCTTTGATCGGTTAATTGTTTATATTTCTTCTTTTTTTAAATAATAAATTGGAAATAGTAATTTATATAAGCCCACCTCATCTAAAAAGGCCCTAAAGTATAAAGAGTTAGATGTCTGCTGAGCGTTAACAATCATATCAGTTATGTTGCTAGGTGGGAGAAACAATATGGGTTACCTTACCTAACAACACGTAATGTGTGCAATTCGCATTCTGAATATTAAGACAAAAAATATTCGTAAAACTGGTGAAGAAATCATTTGTAATGAAGCACAAAACAATGACCCGATTCAAGATTGAAATGCTGCTTCAACTCTTCAGACAATCTGTGGAGCGAGAAAGATCAATCGAAGAAGATAAACTACTAGGCAGTGAAGTTAATAGGTGGTAGAAAAAGTATGGGTTACCTTACCTAACAACACGTGATATATGCAATTCGCATTCTCAATATTAAAATACATTTATTCGTAAAACAGGTAAATGAACTTATTTGTACTGAAGCACTTCACAATGACTCTTGCATTGAATTTATGTTTAACTTTATTTTGAAATTTTATGAGCGGCGCCTTGCATTGAATTTATGTTAAACTTTATTTTGAAATTTTATGAGCGGCGCCTCGCATCGAATTTATGTTTAACTTTATTTTGCAATTATATGAGCGGCGCCTTGCATTGAATTTATGTTTAACTTTATTTTGCAATTATATGAGCGGCGCCTTGCATTGAATTTATGTTTAACTTTATTTTGCAATTATATGAGCGGCGCCTCGACTTGCACTTGCGCGTGTAATTGCTATGCAACACTGCAATAGCGTAGTCTCATGGTCCCATGAATTTAGGGGGCACTGTGGCGGGGGGGGGGGGGGTGAAGGGGGTAGAAACATCTTCTTACTCTGAAATGTGAGAGAACATGCAATTAAGATCATCGTGAGGGGTGCATTTGATCCGTGCCTACTGCTGCTACGCGACGCAAAACGTAATGCATACATTGCTTTGTGTTCGCAACCTAGCTGATTCCTGGACTGGATTTAAATGTGAGAATAAGTCACACTTGGATAGAACAGAGTTCCATTACGCATAATCATCCTAACGTCAAGGACTTCATGATTGAGGATTCATAAAAATGGTAAGAACTGACGACAAAAGAAAAAAATGTTTGTATACATGACCTTATGATCTATTTGTTTGTGATTAATAATCACAATGATGATCCTAAAGGTTGTTTTTATTCTATGAGAAAGGGTTACAGTGTAAAAGTCGCTAAAGTTGTGTCCATCTTGCAGAAAAAGCTTGAATCCTAGATTTCACGATTGGAAGGCTTACAACCTATGAAAAGCTAATGCTTTTATTCTTTTAAACTTAACATGAGTTCAGAATACCACTTTTATCAATAGTCAGTTAGTTATTAAACTGGCCACAGAACTGCTGTAGTTTACTGTCGCAAAGTCTTGTCAGTCACCGTGCCTAA